ATCTTCTCAAAAACAAGCTGAGCCCTGCCAGCCCGTGAAATATCACTGACGGAGAAGCTCCAGGACCACTTGCCAGGGCAGTATTTCACCATCAGCATGGCAATGGTGCAGAGAGGGAGAGACCCAGAGAAGTCACGCAAACATATATACTACTGCAAAACCCACAGCACTGGGATTGACCTGCTGTTGCTGCAGTCAGCTCGATCCTCTTCATCGTCCACTGAATGATGTGATGGAAGGCTCACAACAAAAGCCACATGTAGGGTTTATATATGCTCGGACAAGGGTTCTTTGCTGTGAGAGGATCATGTTGCTACACACCTAGAGACAGGGCTCACTGCCCAGGGCAGGCACTGGCTAGGCTGCAATTAGAGAAAGCAGCCACAGCCCTCATCCGTGGTCCCAGAGATGTTGTCCAAGAATAAACAGGGTTAGGTAGTTGTCAGCTGCACTCATTCAGCCCATCCTCACAAGCTGCCACCTGCCCGCTAGTTAAGTCACTCATTCAAAGCACTGCTACCTGTGTGCATCTTTACAGGTTTATTAGGCATTGGCATAAGCAGCTGAAAGATCAACGCTATGTTTGTCAGTGGAAGCACATGAAATTTGGCAGAAACCGTGCTATCCAGTGGAACAGGGATTAGCTGGGAGGCAGATGTGATTTATTCGTATCTGCATCAGCTTCAGGAACTGTGATTCATATTACACAGCGAGGCAGCATTGCAGTGCTACAAAGGGCTGTGCAGTTTATCTGTTGTTGGAAGCTACCCTAGTATGCAAGCCTGTGTAGCAAGACTTGTGATGGTTGCCAGTTTGTGTCCCAGACCCCATGCCTGAGAGCTGAAGGCGTTAGAAAGGTTCAGAAAGAAAAGGGATTTTTAAGGCACGTAAAGCCAGTTTCAAAGGGAAAGGTGAGCAAAATGGCTAAATGCCATGGCTTTGAACTGTCAGCAGGAATGCGTGCAAAATTTAGATGGAGGAGGTAGTCTTGATTTTTGACTTTGTAATATAGCTAGCATTACTTTATGTGATTTTCTCTGTGTGCAGAACTGCAGGCACTCATTGTCATGATAGGGACTGGAATAGACACCAAACTGCATACAGAACACATGGATGCAATTATTATGTCTGGAACACCTTTAAGTGACATCTTGCTAGAGTGAGTGGCTAATCTAATCTCTTTTCCTTCAGTCTGAATGCTGGAGCTCATGGGAGAAGAGCCCGCTGAACCAGCAAAACAGGATAGAGATGAAACAACTCTGGCAATTGGTGAACAAGAGGCTTAAAACAAGTAATGTCCTGAAAAGTGAACATGCACTGTATTCGTGCCAGTAATCCCTATTTGGCAAAAGCCAGGAGGGAAGTTGACAACTGCAAGATGCCAAGAAGAGAAAGAAAAAAAGAAAACCCAAATGACCTTTAAAGGAACTACGAAGTACTCCAGGAATAGGCTTTAAGCATTAACAAGAAAACTGCGTAATTGCTGTGAGAAAAATGATGAATGAAAACAGACTTCGATGGGCAGCACACAGTTAACTGCAAATGGCCTAAATACCATAGGTACAAAAGTGACACTTAACAGGGTCATGGTGCACCTGGGCTTCCAGCTGCACCGCACCTTCTGCAGGCTGAGCTTCCCGCTGCAGGCTTCCCTTCTCTCCAAGGGGAAAATCGTGATCCTTCCCCACCACCCCCCACAGGCTCTCTCCCCCGTTTCTGCTTACTTTCTCCTGCCACCCCTTTTCCAGTGAGGTTATTGCCAGCACCGCTCTGCCTGGGTAGCAGCATCCCTCTGGCCAGAGCCAGCACCACCCGGGAGCTTGCAGATGGGCTGCACTGCCATCCCGAAGCGAGTTATCCCAGTTTCATGCTCTCCCTGTGCCCCTTCCCTCCCCCATAGCACCTGAGGCCAGCTGTTACAGCTTCAACAGTTTTATAGACGTGTACATAGACCTCATGGCAGAAGCTGGGAGACTTGTCAGATACCACAAGCCCACCCCCGCAAACAGGCAGTGAGACGCCACCCCCCGTACACACAGGCAGTGACACCAGTCTCAAGATTCCCTCCCTACTGTAATTATTTCACTCTGTACAGAGATTTATCACATGCAGCTGCCATGACTTGTTTACAAGACACAAAAGCCATGAAAACAAGGTTGATGAAGTCTGTGTGTGAGCCGTTTTCCCTAGCATAGATTTGCCATACCTCTCAGCTCACTTACACCCCGGTTGGCCACGCAGTCTCCAGTAACACATGGCAACGCCTTCCCTTCATCTTCAGAGTCAACCTAAATGTGTGTTTTCAGTCAGAGGTCGCGTTTTTTGACACAGCTGCCTTGCAATTAGGTTTATCACTGCTGCAAGAACAGCAAAACTGCCAGTGGTGTCTCATTGTTTCTTTCTACTGTTTTTTTTTTTCCTTATTCCATGGTAAAACAAGTTTCCAGAAATAAACTTTTGATTTGCTCTACCAGGGATGAGTGACTGGCACATGAAGCCTTCAGTTTGTTACTAGGACTTCTGCTCAGTTCTGGATCTTAGCTCCACCTGATGCCCTACGTCTACCTACCTTTGATAATTTTATCTGGAGTTACTTCAAGTTTCTGCTCTGAAAGAATAGGTTCAGGCAAACTTCAATAGCCTGCACCAAAACTATCAGTGCTAGATTATAGGAAAGCAGAAACTCCCTTCTGATATTTTAGTGGGTACTCAATAGAAGTCATTTTCTTCCTCCAAGTTAAATAACACCTCAGGGCAGGGAAAAGCTTTTACACAGCGTGCCAGGTGCTACTCAGCCAAAGAGGTTTGGCTTATGACTACAGCTGAACTTCTAGGTGTAACCTTCACACAAGTAATAATAAAAAAAAAAAAAAAAATTGGCCTCAAGCAAAACTGGTCACTAGTAAAGTCCCCAGTGTAAGTCAGTCAGCAAAATGGAAACGCAGTGCTCATCACATCGGCAGGACTTTGGTGCTCAGATACACTAATGCCATTTTGTGTGGCATAATGGTAAATGAAAACAGCACAGAGACCACAGGCTTTTACTTTCAATGTAAACTGTTAACCTGAATGGCAACAGCTTTCTTCCTCATCCTATTTTCATTTTCAGTACTGCAGCTGTTCTAGTGGAATTACAGAACTAGTCAGCTCAGCCAGCAAAGCTCAATTTTTTTTCCTAAACTTGCTGACTTTTTTTTTATTTTAAAGGGCAGAGTAGCGAAGAGTAAAGATCTCTGAGAATATGCTTTAATGATTCAAGTCCCCCACTTTTTCTTTACCCCACAGCACACCAGCAACATGCTTTGAAAGTCAAACAACTTAAATCAAACAATGCAAACATATTTGCATGAGGTTGTTTTTCCTTTGTCAGAGCTTGAGGCATGGGCTTAAGGAGTGTTGCAATAAAGTTCCTTCCTACATGCGGACAAGGAAGCATCTTCCAAGCCTTTACCAAAGATGACACTCCTCTTTGGGTGCCTAGCACCCTTTGAGAACAATCATCTGTGCCACAAAAGGATGTCCATTGACCAACTTTTCCCTCAACATTGACCTCACAGCTACACAAAAAGGTACTTCCATTTTATTTTATAATTAGCCATTAAAAAAATCAAACAAACAACTAAAAAAACATACATAGGTATCCCAGAAAAATAGCCCAGAAGTATCAAGTACAGTGTGTCGAAAGAGACGAGACACAAGGCTCTTTCTGGACTCACATGCTATTCCTCGAAGACAAAGTATACAGCCATCTCTGGCTATGTTCAAAATTATTTTTTCTAGCTTTATTTCAACAGAAAGTATTAAAAAAAAATTATATATTCATACAGTATATTAGGATGACTGTGTTACTGAAGCTGATGCAGACATGAGAAAGCCACAGTGTTTACTATTTGCCTTTTTTAAAATATAATCATTGATTTTAAACTTGAAGGTTAAAGAAAGGCAGACGTTCAATATAATTCCAAAGAGTACTCCAGAGAACAAATAAAGAGTATTTCTGACACTAAAAAAAGATAAAGGCTACAGCAAAACAAAATGCATAAACACTACAGTCTGAATATTGCAGTCTTCTACTCATAATGATATCCTTAAATTCGTCAGCTCTCCTGCTCCACAAAGCCCTCCCCCAACCTCCCAAACAGACAACTGGTTTGTTTTTAAGGATTAGCTGGAACTGATTTTTCCCCTAGAGGTCTCTTATTTCACTGTTGTTGGAAGGATAAGGGTGGGTGACTGACATTCAAGTAAGTTGAAATGTGAGCTTCAAGTCTTCGCATTTTTCAGTAATAAGTCATTTTGACAGCAAAGTCCTTTTCTGAAAGGTAACTTAGATTCTGTTGGCCAAAATATAGCCCAATACAATAGGGATCTATTCTAAATCTTAATCAATCATCTGTTTAAGTACCTTTCCAATACCTGGCTCCCAGAACTCATAGATTTCCACCCAATACAGTCTCTTCTATTTTAGTCTACTAGAATTACTGAGTCAAACCCTTTTCATTGCTAGTCCAGGAAGAGTAAGAGTGGGACCCCTTGTCCTCCGCGCTCAAAATTTGTCACCAGTGATGTCTAGGAGCTGTATCACAAAGTCCCCCAAAGAACGCTTGCCCCAACCCCTCTTCTGGCCTCATTTCATCTTCAGGAGAACTTCCCCATAGGCTGTCACATTTCCCAGCCCTAAAGTATTTCTAGGAGCCAAAAGCTGGAACTCTTAGAGGGGCCTAAGATATCCCCCTGAAATGTAGTGAGAGTTGCCTACATAGCTCCTTTTCACCCCTTTAAAAAATTTCAGCATAACAGAACATGGTCAGGTACTTCTGGCCCACTTTTCGGTATTCCTTTAAACATCTGGTTAACAACAACTGCTAGCATAGCTCTCTAAACCAAACAGAGTCAGTGTGAGCTCAAAAATATTTCTAACTTCCATTTATTTCAAGAGTAAAGCTGTGTTTTCTGCAAAGCTCGTATTCAACAAAATACTCTGTATGCACCCATTTTTAAAGAAAATATTTTATTACATTATGGGAAAAAAGCATAATCATCCAAAGTTCATATTGTTAAAAAAATTGAAAATTTATTTTAGACAGCATGTCGGTATATTGTGTTCCGCATGGGAATGATAAGAAGACTTTATATCATTACTAGATATTGCACAGTCTGAAAGAAACAAAAACAAATCACATGATCTTGGGAACCATCTCACATTATGAAAAGCCTACAAAGAAAACATTAAAAAAACAAAACAAAACAAAAAAACACACAACCCTTTCTTTCTACAGTAGCTTTAAGTTTATAATTCTTGGAATGACCATATTCCACTGAAGACCATCTCAGTGACAGGAAGCTTCATTTCAGCAATCCCTTGTGCAAATAAGATTAATAAAAAAAATAATAATAATAATGCAGTGAAGTCTTTTGATATTGTGTGGTGGCAATAACCACACAGCTGTTAGATCCCTGCCTGGAAAAACATAATGGGGAAGGAGAAGGAAAGGGATTTAGGCCATAAGTTTCGCCTGCAACTCCATCTCTGCCGCCCTTTTGAGTGCAACATCCACCAGTAGCTGAAATCCACTAAAATCCTGGTTAAGGTCTGGTGGTGTTGGAGGAGGAGTGTTAAAGAGCCCACTTTGTGTGTTTGCACCAGGTCCCAGTTTAGAGGCGTCCTCATGGTAGGAGAGGGAGTTGTCTGTGAAGCCATTGGCCGGGGGCTGCTGCAGGTCCGTGGTCTGGCCTACATCAGCTGGCTGGCAAAAGTGGAAAGGGGTGTCCTTCAATGCAGTCACAGTCGTGTGGCAAATCACCGACGGCCGAGCCAGGACCGATCCCGGGGAAGCCAGCTTGGAAGAGGACACAGTCTTGCCGACTGGTGCAGCAGTGGGAAGGAAGGCAGTCTCCTCCAGCAAGGGAATGTAGTTCTTTGTGCTGATGGAAGACTCCACCAGGCCGCCCTCAGGAAGCTTGGTCCCTCGCCGTGAGATAGTGAACTGATTTGGGTCTTTGCCATCCTTCCTCAGCATGTCAGGTAAAAGCCTGCGGCGTGCATTGATAAACCAGTTGCAGACCTGGGAATATAATGACATCTTAATTTCTACCTTCATTCATTTCCAACTATGTGCCATTAGAGTCATTGGGTTAGATTAATGAACCCCTCCAAGCAGTTTCCTTAACTGCAGAACAAGAGAGAGACCTACTGACAAGTTCTGACATGCCTGGCAAAGGCCCTTCCCTCGCCCTGGCTCTGCCCCTGGCTCTCCACTCCTGTTACAGAAAGCCCTGGCACATCTGAAGACTGCTAGCCCAAACGGAGGAGTTTAGTTTTAACTCTGTGCACACACATTAACCTATTAGCTATTGTTCCCTAGCTTAGGTTAATTAACAACAGGAAAACCTTTTCTCTGTGAAGAGTGCCACTCCTCCCACAAATAGTTACTGATTTTCCTTGTTCAACTGACTGTGTCGACAGACATAACATGAATTACCTCATTTAAGTTTGTCCTTGTTTAAATTTCAAACCAGTTTCCTGGGTGATACAGGATAGTTTACAGTTTAACGTCTTTTTTTCTGTTTACTACATAAAGGAGGTTTTCTTTATGATGTTACATTAAGGAAATTTTACTTTATAGCCAATTATGAAATTTGTACTAATGAATTAATCTGGAAAAATAAAACCCAGAAGTCAAGAGAAGCGCTCTATATTTAGTGCCTCTCAAAACCAAACCAGGGTTTACTCAAGTTCTCATGCAGCCACCTTCCCACGAGGTGGAAAGCAGCAATTGTCAACAGCTATTCCACCAAAGATGATCACAGAAGACAAATGATGCATCCAAGGGCCCTCACAGCTGCCAGCACTATCCCAGGATGAGAATCCAAACTAACCACACATACCTATACTAACACACTTGAGTAGCTCTATCCCATATAGGTTGTTCCACTGATCTTAATGGAAGTCATCATACACATAATTATATACGTGCATGTTGTACAAGAACGAGCCTCAAGTGGCAGTTTTAGAGGAGTTATATGTTAAGCTGCTTATCTATCACCATAAAACCTCTGTTGACAAATAAATATGTTCTTCTCTCAATAAATTACCTTATACAGACACTTTATGTCTTTTGGGGCCCAATTCCACAAAAATTAGCATGCATGCTTGAATTCATGACTGTCTGTTCTCCCAGAGAAGTAATTTTATTCTCAATAAACAAAGATCATCGTAACACACGATTCATTTGTATTTCTCCTTACAAGTGCTGTCAGAAGGAGAGTGAGTAACAATAAAAAAAGGAAATCTCATATGCAGTGTAAACATTTGTATCAGTGACTAGACCGCAGGTAAATTAAGAAGAAAACAGCTCCTTTTGAAGCAAGAACTACTTTTTTTTTTTAATACCTGTAGTGTGGAAAGGTGTGTTTGTCGGGATAACAGCGCTTTTTCTTGCTCTGAAGGATAAGCATTGTATCGGTGCTCATATAGCCAGTCCCGAAGAATCTGCACGGATTCCTTGGGCAGGTTGCCACGTCTCCTCCGTTTGCCTGAGCCAGCAGATGAAGAAAGATCCAGTGGGACCTCCATAGTGTCATCATCCTCCGTTTCACTGCCTGATATTGCAACTACACCTATAATTATAAGAAGACAAGAACAATCAGCCTCCTAAACCCGTAAACTACTCAGCTCCAGCATTCTATCGTTCAGACACTTTTTATTACATCAACTGTCTTTACTATGAATCATGGTATAGCCTCGTATACAGGAGATTTGTCCTGTAGTGTTAACTTGTCAAGCTGTAGCTTTTCTGTCAGCTGAACAAAAAGTAGCACCAATGATCTGTTCCTAGGGGAATTCTTCTCTGCAAACCCTCATTTTCTTGTTCCCCTGGCAACCTTTCATCTGCTGCATGTTATCAGATAGCTTCTATCTAATGCCAATATTGTCCAAATTTGCTTGCTATGGTATGCATCCAACACTCTTCTTCAAGGATAACTACCCAGTGGCTGGGTAAAAGGTCAATAAGCAAGAACTTAAAACACCCAACGCAAGCGTTGGGTTATTTAATTACTTCTTAACATGCTGATGCTTCCCTCCTGGGAGAGATAGCTTGTAGATTTTATAGATTAATAGCTCATTCCAGATCTATTAATAAAAACTAATGGAACAAAAAAAGAAGAAAAGGAAAAATTGTGTCTGCCCCCACCCCCAAGTGAATGTTGACTTAGGAAGGAAAAAAAAAGTGCAGGAAAAGGAACAAACCAGGTACCTAAGAGTCCACCAGTTTATCAGGAGATGGACTTCTTTAATTTAATTGCACTTTGGTAGCAAAGAATCACAATCATTTAATGTTTGGGTGGGTTGGTTAGTTAGTTAGTTTTAAATGTACCACTTTGCATCCTGATTATTTTTTCAACTTCATAGTTTTCATCTCACGTTTTAATCTGTGGAAATGTGTGCTCTATGCTACACTTACTACAAAGACTTCAGATTTACAAGTTAACTGCATACCTTTTTCCTTCAACACAAAGGAAGGAACAGATTTCAAAATCTGATTATCCCTTTATTTATACACCACACTACCAGTAACATGAAGCTATGGTATGTCAATAAAATTAAAACAAACAACTAAGTATTCAATAGTTAGGAAGACTACAATTCTACTCCTTTGGTGGGATATACAAGTCACTTGGGAAACAAATAGTACTGTAAAATACGAAGAAAACCATGCTTTAAATACTCATCAGGTTAAGCTCACCAGAAATTTTAGGAATCTTATGAACTATATATAAATTCAAATAAGATACCTCCCATTTTCAACTAGTACTATTTAATACTAATTTCAAGGGAAATTATACTGGCTTTCAGAAGCATTTTCTAGAAGCTATAGAAGGAAAACAAGCCTTTAATCTTTCTGTGTTTTGAACTTAGATGGGGGGGAGAAGAAACTTGCTCATTCATAACATCAAAACTAAAAACCTTCATAGTAAAAACAAGTTAAATGTCAAAAGTAAAATTTTTATGTGGGCAACCACTCACAATTCAAAAATTCTGTTCAAGGAAACAAAGTCAGCCCTAAAATACAAGAAGCATGCCTGTGAAAGTATAAAACTATATAAAGCTATGGTTATATCCATAAGTAAAGAAATAGAGGAATTAATGTCATTTAAACAAACAAACAAAACCCCACAACACAGAAAGAAAGGAAAAAGGTGTGCCTGGGTAAGGTTTCAATACTTGGGGCGGGTTGGGGGGGGGGGGGAGCAGAGGAAGACCTTTCCCCACACTTTCAAACTTTAGCCAAAGCTGACATCGTAAATTATTCTTTCCTTCCCCTATTTATGAATAGCTCCAACATCCTTATATTTAGTTTAAGTCATCCAAATTTCAATACATATTTTTGATATGCAAGCATTCCCAGCAGGATGATCAATCTGTAATTTGCCTGGTGTAGTTACTTCAGTAACTTACTTGAATATGGTTTTCATTTCCCCAGTTGATGATTTATGTAACCAACAAACATCAAACTGACATACCAATTTTTTCCTGTGATGATTAGCTACATAAATTATCCAGTCATAGAACAGGAACAATAGACAATATTTAAATAGCCAACACAAGATAAACACAAGATAAAGGTTCTTAATTCATGTAGAAAGTATGTCAGGTTTGCTTTAAAATGATTCTGAGCAAACTGCTTTGTATTTGTCATAGCTTCATGGAAAAGTGCTGTCAGGCTTTCAACCTAACTTGAGAACATGCCTTGCACAATGGGCTCCTGGAGCCATGCGGAGAACTTCTTGGAACAAAGATCCTGCACAGACAACAGGATAGCTCTGCAAAGCAGCTCATCCCTTTTAAATTGAATTTAAAAACTAGCTAAAACTAGCCTACACTATTCAGACCATGTTTTCAAGTGCACTGTTCTTGTTTGTCAGAAACCAGAAGTGTTGCAGCACTTTAGTGGGTTGGGGGTTTTGTTTGTTTTTAAATATAATAGGCAGCAAGACAGGACCTTGGAAAACTGGGAGAGGCTAACAGTGAGGGTTGGAAGTAAGAGGGAAGAGAAGCCAAAGAAACTACTCCTATGAGGAAGCTAAGTGTCTAATGGTTTGCAATCCATATTTACATGGCAAAACAAGTCCTCCAGACACACACCACCCCATCTGCAGCAACCTCTCCAAGATCTAACACATAGCTAAAAGACTCCACAGGCATCTCTCTGAATTTGAGAAAACTGATTTGACAGCAAAACTTCTTCTAGAACTGTTGCTCTTTTTCACACACACACCCCCAAAAAAAGTGAAAAAATACTGTCTGAAAACCAGCAGCATAAAAACGTTTCTCTATTTTGCAAACAAGACCTTTTGCTAAAGTAAAAGTTGCCATCTGACTAACCGTAACTTACCTAGCAAGAAATGAGTCAACAGCGGAGCCTGCCCTTTGACCCGTTCACTTGGTCTGTCATATTAATTGACACAGTAAGTTAGTGTTGCACAAAGCAGGTTTTGGTTAAGCAGGAAACCCAGTGTAGTACAACTTCTCCTCATTTAAATGAGCTCATTTAAATAGATGATCAGCCCTCTGAACTTGTGGCAGATCTCTCCGATGCAGTACAGAGCGAGCAGCAACAGGAAGTCATGGCTAGAAATCTCACACTACCCCAGCTGATACTTTTTACTAGAGCAGGAGCCACGTTGTTGCTGTCAAGGCTCTGTTTTCATTAAAGCATTCCTGCTGATTACAACCCAGCTTTGTTTTTCCATCTTGTTAGTAATCAGGCTATTCGCTGCTGGTTTCCTGTTTTAACAGGGCCCATCTGAAAAGGCTTCTGGCCAGGCTCCACGACTGGACCATTGGCTTACTGTTATTTACACCCAGAATAAAGGCATGTGGACACGACAAGTAGCCCCAGCTGACCTACTAATTTATTTCACCTTAAAAGCAGGCTAGTACCAGGTTATTCTATGTCTCCTCCCAAATACACTTAATCTAAACAGAAAAACTGCTTTTACAGGAGTAATTAAAGCAGCACAAGTTCATTTGCAGAGAGGTCTGAGAAACAATACAAAATCCCAGTTCTCCACTCCAGCCATCACCACTTAGATGAGCAGTCCACACTATTAATGGCCTAAGAACTACATGATCAGCATCCCTTCTTTATAAATTACTTTATCCTCCTGGTTTCCCAGCTGAAGTCATATACATGATTGAATGAACTGTTTCATTGTATCACAGCCCAAAGACTTTACAGGTCTTCCTGTAATCAGCTCAGGGAAGATTACACCTAGGATCCCTAGTCTAGGCTCAATACCCAACAGTTAACAGCTTGAAACAACTCGAGTAGAAAAGTACAGTGATGACTACAGTTGATTTCAAAATAAACTACTGCTACTTGAGAAGGCACGCTGAAATACTTTGAGGGGGAGGACAGAGCATTTAGAGAGGCTGAGACAAATGAAATGGAAGTTAAGCAAATGAAAAATTTAGGCTATCAAAAAAAAACCCAAACAACTATCCCATTGTATCGAGGAAGAGCTTCACAGAGGAAGTGGCAGAAGCCAATTGTTATTCAAAACAGGACAAAGTATACCACAAGGAACAATCTCTGCCCTCCAGAGAGGGGATGGACAAAAATCACCTTATGGAAAACCTTCCACCCCACCCCCTTAGGGCTCTCTGAATTTCTTAAACTGGATTTTTCTTTTATGAGCACAGATAAACAGAACCAGTTCCCATCTAAGGCCCCAATCCTGTAGTAACCAAGTTCAGTAGGATTCCTCACATGTATAAACTTGAGCACATGCCTGTGTCTTCACGAGATTGTATTCTAAATCAGCTAATTAACAAGCTGAGTATGTTCAGTGATTGCCATCACGTTATTTTTTGTAAATGAAGCTATGCACAGAAGAGTCCTCAAGATTTTAATCCATAGCCTGATAGCTTAAAAAAAAACAAAAAAACAAACCACCCCAACAACAACAAAAAATCCAATACACAAACAAAAAACCTAACTAAAATTTAGTGTGAATTTAAAAGCCAGCAACAGAAATAAATTGGTTTGAAATTATTCGTAAGTAACCAAGAACTACAAGGATGCAGAAGGGAATTTCCATAGTAAGAAAACTTTTTCCTCTGAGTAAGTTTCATAATTGAGGAACCAGCTTATTTGTTTTCCTCTGCATTTCACAGCTTGTGCTCTATCTCTTCTAAAGCGGCGAGACTTGGCTGTGCTATACATTCTTTTTCTTCAAACGGGATTTTTCTAAGAGTGCAAGCAAGAAATCTGTAACAAAGTCACTCTTTGTAACTTATTGAATGAGCCTCAAATGCCAGTAGGTCACAAATAACTACAAGCCCAACCTTTAATAAAACAAAGGCACCCTAGCCCTAACATCTTTTTAAAAGTTTCCGTCTTTGTCTCCACACCTTTTAATTTCTGCCAGGCAAACCCCAGGCCCATGGCCCCTCTCTAAAGTTCTCCCTCCCGCCTGTCACCTTTCATTGTTTCCATTGTTTCAGCCCAGAACTTGCAATCCTCAAAGCAGATCTCCCCCACCACCACTCACACACACACACACAAAGCCCTATACATGCATACCTAGAAACTACGTCAGCGTTTTTCACACGCATTTATTTCGGGGGTGGCAAGAACAACAGTTGAAAGTGCAGGGAGCTTGGTATTTCACCAACCAGCAGCTGCCCTCGGGGAGAGAAGTCTGAACAATGGAAGCAACAGCAGACAGGAAACCAGCTCACCACTGCTGTGCAAATAGGGAGCATAGGAATGTCCTAAAAATAACTGGGCTAAATTAATTCAGTGAAACCATAAAAAAAAAAACAACCAACACACAACTGCTTGCAATAAGGTTAAGGATCTCAACCTACCTAAGGCGACTGAAACATTTTAAAGTCAATGCTGTCACTGTCTCTAGGCACAGACGGCCGAGCTTGGTATGCAGTACATGTTGTAATCTAAAAATCCGTGCAGTTCCCAGGCAGGCTGAAACGCGCCGTACGCGCCCCGCTCCTGCGGGAAATCGGAATGCTTCGCTGTTAAACCGCTGTTTAAACTTCGTCTTTGTGGTTTAATTCCCTTTGTGTGTGCTCCTCTTAGATGAGTGGCACGTCCAAAGCTTCGTACGAGGGCTACAAACCATATTAATACATCACGTTCCCAGCAGCCCAATGATTTCACGAACTACATATGCATTAATTGCTCCAAGGAGCAACAATGAGCGAAGCTGCTCTACTATACAGCCGCAGGAATGCGTAGTAGGGGAAAAACAGCACAACTCTGGAGTACTGAACATGCGCACTGCTCCCCTCTAACCCTCCACTTCGGATAATTTAATGGTCTTTGAATGCAAAACACCCTTCATCCACACTACCGGCTGCTAAATCGCAACTGAAAAGATACTGCTTTGCTATCAACTTCTTTCCAGCCAGCGCAGATGCGTTAAATCTGAAAGCATGTTCCCGTCTTTGTGGCCAAGCTCTAATTTGAAGGCACTTAAAGCACCACAACCACGAAGAGTAACAATCCTCTAAAGTTTGTCTGTTTGTAAATTAACACAAAGGAAACTTACAGCGCCTCATTTTTATTGGAGGGGGGGAAGTCTTCCTCCTTTTAAGCCTAACTGTGTCGAAACTTCTGTACTTTTACCCCCGCCCCCGCCCCTGTTTTAAGTGATGAAAGGAAGAAAAAGGCAGCAACTTTCACCAAAACAACGCAGCCAAGGGCGCGGATGGGGTTTGAGACCCTCCTGCCGAGCTCCCCCCCCCCCCGGCTGGGGGGCCCGCCCCCCCCGCCAAGAAAGGGTTGCCGGGCGCCCGCGGATCGCCGCGGTCGGAGTTGTGGGCGGCCCCGCTTTCCTCTCCCCAAGTTGGGAAAACGGCCCGCACTCTCGCCCCCCGGCAGCGGGACGGCGGGGCTCGGTGCGGAAAAGAGACAAAAAGCGGTTTAGCGGAGGGAGGGGGGGGGAAGGCTCGGTGGAGGGAGCGAAAACAAAACTTCGCGGAGGCATAAGGCGGGCGGCTGAACGTGTTTTTGACAGGGAGCCAGCGGCGCGGAGAGGCGGCCGCCTCCAAACAACAGCCCCGCGTGTTTTGTCTGGGAGCGGAGCATCCACTGCCATCTTCCACGGGAGCTCGGTCGGGGCGGGACGGGGGGCACTAGGGAGAAAAGGAACGAGGAGAGAAGGAAAACAGACTCCGTCCGGCTTGGCAACAGACACCCCCCCCCTTCCCCTCCGAGCCGTTTCCGTAGGGAGAGAAGAGGCGCAGGGCACCCCGCTTTCTCCCAGCGGCAGCACACACCCCATCACAACTACCTTTTTTACTTTTCATCTTGATCGCGAGGACCGAGCCGCCGGACACCCCGCACACCGACCCAAGTTTCTCTCTCTTTGCCGGACGCCGCTCCCCCTTTAAACTCGTCGAGGAGGAGGAGGACGACGACGACGACGACGGCGACGAAGAAGAAGAAACACCGGCGCGGAGCCAGGCGCCCACTCCGGGGCCGCGCTGCTGTCAGCGGGAGCCGGAGGGCTCTGCCTCCCCGGGGGGTTTCTGGTGCGGCCGCTGCCGGGGTGGGCTTCCCTCCCCCCTTCCCTTTGTTCCTTTCTGCCGGCGATTGGCCCCGGCTTGTTAAAGTGAGCAAAGGCACGGGAGGGAAAGGTACACAGCGCCCGCCCTCCCCCACCTCCCCGCAGTGAGTACGGGCGAGTAACCGAACGCTGCACTGGCACTCGCGGCTGCCGCGCTGCCTCCTCCTCCTCCTCTCTCCACCCCTCCCGGGCTGCTGGGGCTCTGTCAGACGGGAGGGGAGGGACGGGGCCGGCGGGAGGCGTGGGGGGTGTCCGCCCGTACCCGCTCATGCACACACAACAGCGGCGGCGGGGGGAGCCCTCCGTGCCTCCCGTTCCCCCGCCTTTCTTCCAGGCAGACGTTTGATCATTAAACTGGAAGGAGAAGGGGGGGGGGATTTTGACAGCTGCCCTTGACTAGCCTCCTCCTGTTGCTGCCGGATAAACCACCCACTCCTTCGCGTGAATAGAGAGAAGAAAGGAGAGTACGTACGGCAGGAGAAGGAGCCCTCCAAAGACCGGCGGGCCCCGCCGCCTCGCCTCCCCGGTGCCCCCCTCCCTGCTGCCGGTGGGGGCTGCTTCGCCTCCTGCCCCCCACCCCCCCGCGATGGCACTGCCGGCGCTGGCCAGCCCCTCCCGCGGGGAAGGCGAGCCCCGTTTCTGGGGTTATTTTTACATCAGTTGGTAAAGGTTGTTTCCCCCCCCTCCGCTCCCCAGCCCGCTGGATTTTGGTGCGACACATGCTCATAGCTGTAAAAGAGAGAAAAGTCTCGCAGCTTGACTCATCCCTCTCGGGCGAGCGCACGTTGCAGCAAGTTTATTTTCCTCCGGAATGGGAAACGCGGGACCTACGAGCCGCTCGTCCACGGAGTGCTCGCTCCAGCTTCCCACCGGGGGGGGCGGGAGAGCCCTCCCCGAAGACGGGTGGCCTCGGCGGCGGGTCCCGCCGCTCCCTGCCAAAGTGAGGTGCCCTGCGGCGCCGGGCGCGTACTTCAAAGCGCTGAAGGCCGAGCTCCGGGCTGAAACTTCACGCGCGAAGGTTTTGGCGTGGAAAGTAAAATAAGCCGCCTTGCCTCGAAACACGCGTGCGGATGTGGCGTGCTTTTTATGCACGGGAGTGTGTATATTTGTATGACTCCTGCACCGCCACGTGCTGGGCTGTTTGCGGACGAGGAGGAGCGGGGGCAGGCACTGGGGATTGAGAAGCAAAAGCTTTAAACGGCCGATGAAATAATTAACTCCTACGGCAGAGCAGGGCTCCTTCCCTCCCCTCCCCCCCCTCCCGCTCGGCGGCGCGGGCATCCACACAAACGCGCATTCACAGCAGAAGAGGAAGCAACAGTGTTTTAACAGCAAATTCTCCCGAGTACCTTGTAACTATTTTTATGTGGCGTAATTACAGCGACCTTGCTGGAGATAAAACAGCTGTTACATCCTGAATGGGGGACGTGTACGGGGGCGAGGGCGGCTGGTGAGTCATGTCAGTTAACAAGGCCCCAGTGTTGGCCGCCGCGGGACCGGCGGTTCGCCTTTGGGTGACTGTTGGGGCTGGTCGCTGGTATCCGGCGTGTCTGGCTGTAGGCTAGTGAGGCGGGCCAGGCCAGGCGCACTGACTCACGGCGCCGCGGGCTAGCGCCGAGTCAGGCGGGCGGTTGTGCCGAGCGGCGCTGACTGAGTTCCCGCCGGCGGCGGCGCGAGCCGGGCCGTTACCGCCTGACCAACCGCCCTCCGCCGGCCGAGGGTGGCGGCGCGCGCGCCTGCCCACCCTCCAGGCCGCCTTCCGTCGCGGTGCCGGCGTCGCCCCCCGGTTGTGTCCGGTTCAGTTCGCGCCCGAGCGGGGGTGAGAGAGCTCGGTGCTGCCGCCCCGTACGTTGGCAGCTCAGGAGGATGAGGCTGGCTTAGGGGCGGGTGTTTGTAACGTAAGGAGCGAGCTGTGTCTCCGAGGAACTGGTGACTCGGGGACTGGGGGGTGTGCTCCCTCGCCGCCGTGGCTTGTTTCTTTTTGAGGGGAGGGGTTCCTGTTTTGTTTTTGTTGCTTAAAGTCCTGCTTCCTAGCTGTGAGGGCTGACTCTTCAAACTGGTGTTTTGAGCGTCCGGGCACGGTCATGCAAAAAAAAAATAAATATGGGAAGTTAACAAAAGACATGTCAGGGATTTGAAGAGATTTCCCTTTCTCCATACCGCCCAAGCCGCCTCACGCTTGCTTATTGTCCTTGGGACTGCCGGCAAGTTTGTGAACCAAACTCTTCCCTTTCTTTCTTCTTCTTTTTTTTTTTTCGGGGGGGGGTGGGTCGAGATTTGTTTGGGTTCGGTTTTTTGGGGTTTTGGGGTTGGGGGTTTTTTTCTGGTTCTTCTTTGGCAAGGTCACTTTTATGAGGGGAAAAACTAAAGTTTTACTTTTACACTGAGCTCAGGCTTGCTTTTAAGAGCATTAGGAGCAGCCTTTCTAGCTCTGCTGGAACGTTGGTTCCTAGGAATTTTCTCAGAGGATGCTAGGAGAAGATCAACTTTCACTTAGCATGGTAGCTTTTTACCTAGTAGCAGTAGGCAGTGGACCGGTGGGTGTTCATTCCTAGCTCCCCTGGTACCAAATGCACGGAGAGGCATTTTTTTGAACCAAGTTACTCCATAGATGTGAGTATGGAGGGGTGTATCCATTGTTGGGACCACTGGGAAAAGCAGAAAGTGGACTTGTGCAGTGCATCTTGCAGTTATTGGCTGGGGAAATACCTCGGGTCTGTCTACAAATTCAGGCTGTCTTTACCACTTGAAGACTCTTGATACATGTTCGAGATGGTTGGGTGGATAAAGTTTGCAAAAAAGTATGGTGGGTGGAAGAAAACCCCTGCAACCTTCTCTATTGGTAAAGTCTCAACACGCCTGAAACAAGGTTGTATCTAAAGGGAGGACAGGTGATTTTCTTGTCTGTCCTGAGCTCAAATCTGAGGAATAGAACAACTTGATTTTACAGTGAATGCTGTAACCCAGTATCCTATAAGTTCTTGTTGGGTGTTGGTATTGGCTGCTGCTTGCAGGCAGAAGTAGATGGTATGGAAGACAATATGTACCTTTCTACAGTTTTTCTTTTCCCTTCATATGTTGGCAAGGCTGTGCTTTTTAGTATTACTTAATCCGCTGGAGCTGCATCAGCACTAATTATCATATCTCACAAGCAGTTCACACTGCTCACTGAGCAACTTTGGCATCTGTGCAGCTCCTTGGGTAAGTAGTGATATACATGTGCATCAAGATACATCTGTGCCAACAGGTTTGAACAGCTTGGTTTAGTCAGAGCAAGTTCAGCTCTGTCTGGACCCATCTGCATAGACATGCTGTAAGTATTTGTAACCGGATTCTAAGAAGGCAGAGAAATAAAACTGGAGGGGCTAGACTTTGAATTGCTTGATGATTGTCCATATCATAGGTTTATCAATGTTCTGTGGTGATGCACAAGTGTTTCTATCCTGTCGTGCTGCCGTGTGTGATATCTTGCATGACTAATTGTATGTTTCTTACTTTACAAGTCCTTTGCTTTCAGATGCTGGGACTGTGTTTACCTGACTACTGAAGTCTCCAAAGCCATGCTTTGGGCATAGAAACTCTTAAAGGAAGTACTCTGGAAAATTGGGATCTAGGCACCTCAGGCTTGTGGGCGTTTGTTATCTTAGTCTGTTTGTTCCAGTTTCTCATTTATAAACTGGAGAGTTGGTTTTGGTTTTTTTTTCTCCCCACTTTATAGGATGTTATGCAAATAAACCCACTGCTCTTTGTGGAATGCTCAGATGCCATTGAAATGTGAGAAAATTTATTCCTTTATATTTGGAACAGAATTAAGTAGCACACAGTAAGTTAAGCACACCATACCTTTGGCGATGAGAATAAAGCAATGTAACAAGTAACTGTTCTTCCAGTGAATAAATCTGTCCTATGCATGGAAAAACAGGAGTTGCTACTTCGGGTCACACCCATTCTTCACCTTTTCTTATCCATGACATTGACTAGTCTCAGATGTATCAGAGGAAGAGGAGAGGCTACAGAAGGCAGACGTGAGGTAATATTGTCCTACAAATGTCCCATCCAAGTATTTAATAGTTCAATACAAGCACTGGAGCAGTAGTTTAAGATAACTTCAAATTTTGTTACTGAGATAGCTGGATGGTCTTTATACTGGTATAAAAGTTTAACATCTCTATAGCATTAAAACTCTGTAATGGCAGTCAGTAGCATGCTGAGTTGTGAATTAAATGAAAAATACATTTCTTTTGATTTTTTTATCTGTTTATTTCATTGAATATCCTCTTGTGCTTTGAGACAATGAAAGCAGAAGTTCCTGTTTTTTACATTCTCTGTACCATTCACTATTTTATATACTTTGATCATGTCTGCTTTCTGAGATAAAATTTTTCAGTTTTCTCAATCTCTTTTCCTATGAGAGTTACTCCCAGCTTTTGATCATTGCCTTGGTTCTCTCCCAAGTCTATTTAGTCCTACAACATTCCATTTTTCAGTAAAGGTGACTGATGCTGCATGCAGTATTCTAAGCAAGGTTATGCCTCTGATTACAATATATATGTATTTGATATTACTCCCTGACCTGCTTCTTATGGAATCCAGCATGTTAGGCTTTATCTTTGGCTGCTGCTGAGCAGGGGGCTCTATCAGCTTCGGAGGTTATATAGCTTGTTTGGAGTTACTCTTGTGCTTGGTTTCATATTCATCCCAGTGCTGAATTTCTTTTGTCATTGCATTGGTCATTCATGTAACAGAAGTCACACTTAAGTTACTCACAAATCTCCCTTTTCCCGAATATATTTTTGATAGCAGCAGACTCTGGCATCTCACTATTCTTTACCTGTCCCTATTTCTCCCTCTTTCATTAGTCTGAGTTTAATATATTAAGACCACTGGACTGAGTATAGGACCTGGAAGCACCCTGCTGTTAAACTTTTGTCATAATAAAAAACCAAGCATTTAATCTTACACTTTGATTCACTTGCTCCAACCAGATATTCATTCATTCATGACCACTGTTTGCCTTTTTCTCCTAGCATCTTCGTAGTTTCTCCAGTAGCTCCTTGCATGGAACCTTGTCAAAAACCTTTT